CAAAATATATTTCCATTTTTAGCAGAAATTTTAAAAGCACTCCAAAAACAATGTAGTTAATTTTATTCATACAGAAATACAATATGTCTGGTGCTGCTAACTGTGCAGTTTTAAATCAAGCTAATGAGAACATTAGAATTGCATAGAATAAACTGGTACTACTACAATATAAAGAATCTGTGTGGACCCATTACAATTAATAATAAGAATAATGTTCACCACTTATTACATGCTTTCTCGGTGATAAGATATATTTTACATAAATTATCTCATTTTTATCTTTGCTAGAACACTGTGAGCTAGATGTCCTTAAACCCATTTTACAGAGGAAGAAAGTGAGATTGAGAGATTTACATAATCTGCTGTAAAGTCACACAGGTCGTAAGTGGCAGAAGTGATCCCAAACTCAATGTGTCTGGCTCCAGAGCCCATGATGTCACCCCACAACTGCACAGCCATAGAATCAGAATACCTACACGTTCTGAATTTACACACTGAAAGTGGCTCTCAGACTCAGAAATTCTGAATTTACACACTGAGATTAATTCTCAGATTCAATACTGGGTATTTCGTGAAAGGGTTTCTGCAGTAAACTGAATGCAATCTTTTCCAAGAATTGATCCACATAGTTAGAAATTTCATCTGAATTCCAGAATTCAAGTATTTGTCTCCAAAATCCCAGGGACACTATAAGTAAGTAACTGGTGAGTATAATTTTCTTACATCTCAATCAGTTCTTGAAAATGAGCTTTACTGATAGGACCGAAGTGTGTGATTATTTAAATACACGCAGAGGTATGTACTCCCAAGGAAGGTAAAGCCGTAAATCGTTTCCTGAAATAGTGACTCCATTATCACCATGTCAGTCTTCAAAGGCTGTGATTCCATTTTACTCAGCGAAATTCGGTCTAGGCTGAAGGTTCCATCTGATTAATCTCTTCAAATTTTGACACCCTCCCCACCTTTTGTGCAGCTTTAAGATCAGCATATTCAAAGTCATGCAACATCAGTTAAAAGGTTACATCTTGTAAATCACTGGCTGTCCCACTAGCTGTGTCTGTCAGAATCCTTTAATGCCACAAAGTCATTAACCTGAGGAAGTAGCTTAATAAATCTTTCTACTCTAATTCAATTTCTTCTAAATATCACATCAAATGGAGATGACAAAACGCTCATGCATAAAGGAAAAAAATAGCCTTCTTTCCTTCGCACTTGATTTTTGTTTTACAAAGCTCGTAGTAAAAGTTCCACTATGCCTGCAAGCCAATTAGTTCTTAATGTGCAAAGTAATGAGGTATTTGGGTGTAAATGGTAGTGCCTCTGAACCTGTAGTCTTTTCAAAATAAGTTACGAAATAGGCCACCTTTTCCCAGGAGGAGAGTATGGATGCCACCCCTAGAGATCTGACTTCTTCAGTACGAGAATCACTGATACGTACGAAGTGGGAAAAGTTAATAAATACACAACTAAAACAGCCTTTCAAGTCATTTTTCTCTCTTGTTTATTTTTACTACCCTCAAAGCCTTATCCTCTATTAATGATGCAATGAGACAAATGGATATCGTTTCTGGACACATCTAGGTTTTTTCAGTACAGTAAAAAGTTGATACCACTGTCATTTTCTACTTTCTTGCACTAAAATACATCTATAATAGAGGATCACCAATGCTTATCATAACATTTAGAAACTGCAAGATCTTGAAATGCTTTCTGAATGGCTAAAAGTAATGTCAAGTTATATAGAACAGGCTCTCAATGCTGAAGTTATGTCTTTCCCCAAACTTTCGTTTCTGAGAATTTTCATATGTACTGAAATACTGAAATACCATCATTGACACCAGTATACTGTCCTAAATTCAATAATTGTTGGTTTTTGTCATATTTTCTCTCTCCCTCATATTCATTCTCTCTCTCTTTCTTTTTTGGTTGATATGTTTTTTAATGTATTCTAATTTACTGAAGTATAATTTTTTATATATAAAGTATATGGTATTATATCCATTTATAAAACATATGGTAATAAAAATATTTGTATTATAATTACATATTAATTTTCTACTGGGATATTTTATTAACTAAAATACCGAATTGTCTGAACATGAAAATTCATATTCATTATCAGTATTAATTCTGTCCTGTACCTGACCAACAATGGGATATGGATTTCTCCATAAGAGCTGGTGCTTTAGTCTGTCTTCCTAGGGATAAATTAGAGTATTTGTCTATCACCCAGACATATGCCCAATGGATTCTCAATGATAACCAGGGTATTTTATGGGGGAATAAGTCTCTTGTTACCAATGTAAACTGAATTCTTTCTAAAACATTAAGCTATGAGAAAGGTATTTAATACTACCACAAAATAAAATTTGGGTAAACTGTCTTGAAAAAGTATTTAAATAAATCCTGGGAAGAGGATTACTGTTATCAAGTAATTAACTGTGAAAGAGATAGGAAACCTTTATTGGGCTTCTTATCAATAGTATCATGGGAAGAATTGTGTCCCCCAAAAAGATTTGTTGAAGTCCTAACCCCCCAGTATTTAACAATGTGACCTTATTTTGAAATTGGGTTCTTGTAGATATAGTTAATTTAAGATGAGGTAGTACTGGAGTAGGGTGGGCCCTTAATCCAATAGGACTGGTGTCCTTATAAAGAAGCAGGAAATTTGGATAGAGACATGCACGGAGGAAAGCTGATGTGCAGACATGTAGGGAGGAGACGACCATATGACAAGGGAGGCAGCGAGGAGAGTGATGCCTCTACAAAAAGGAACACCAAGCAAGAGCTAGCTGGCTGTCACCAGAAGCAATGAGAGAGGCATGGGACAGATTCCTCAGAGCCCTTAGAAGAAATCAATCATGCCGACACTTTGATTTCAGACTTCTAGCCTTCACTACTGTAAGAGAATAAATTTATGTTGTTTTAAGTCTGTTTATGGTAGTTTATTATGGCAGTTCTAGGAAACTCTCACAGGTAGGTAATAGGTAGATAGATAGATTGATAGAAAATCTTTCAGATTTCTTAGGTTTAGGTCTAGTTATAAAATGAGGACCTGATGAACTATCCAGTGAAACAGTATAGTGGTCCCAAAGTTGTAAAATTGAACAATATGTATCTATTATATTGAGACACATAAAATTGCCATTTTTGTAGAAAAAAATGACTTAATAGAGGTAATTTTACGTGGCTCAGTATAATAGATTACATAAACGATTCAAGTTTTCTGAAACTCCCTTTTCTCCTCAAGAGCAGATCCTTGGCTGAATTTGCTAGGAAAATACTTTGTTTTCCCTGCATCACTTTCCCTCTCTAAATAGATTCTTGGGCTTCCTTCACTTCACTTAGATAAGGAAGTTTGGGTCTTCATGACCTATGAGGAATTAAACACTGGGGGCAATTGCCTTTTGAAGTTGTGCCTGCCATTTCTCTCATCTCTATGCATGGCTTATTCTAGGAGACAATGCTGGGGCTTCTATCTAATTCGTGTTCAAAGCTGAGGCTTCTCCAGGGGATTTTCTCTCGTTCCATTTGGCACAGCAGTGACTGTTTGACAGCACCTGCCTTACAGCCCCGCTCTGCAGCGCCCCCGACTCCTGGTTCCCATCCACGTTCTCTCCCTGCCTGTCTTCTGAGGAAGATGTTTTCACAACAGAGGTGGAGAAGAGAGTACAGTGAGGGCAAACAAGCGCTCTGCTTTCCAACGAGAACGAATTCTGAAGCCACCAAGTGTCTTCACCCATCTCTTACTCCAATTCATGCAAAGACACTCACTAAGACAGCTCTTTGTCCTTTGGGACTCTGAGCACTCACAAGTCATTTCTGAATGTTTATTGTCTATACTTTCCTGTGTCTAGTCCCTTTTACAGTTTCCTCAAATATGAAAAGAGAAATAACCATTCACAAATTTTACTGACAATTTTTTTAACCAGAAGATTCCTCCGCATTCTTAACTTAAGTCATTGCCTGTACCAAACAGCAAATCCAGAATATGGAGTTGATTAGCAGCAATTGCCATTAAATTACTCACTTCAATTAAACTGTCACTGTTAGTTTGCTATGGCTTTAAATTCTAAGAGATTGTTTCCCACTGTCATTCTACTTCTACTTGACCAAAAACCCTGTCATTATATGAGATTCTAAAGTTTCCCTGCGCCAGACAATGCATAAACGGCTGGTGATGTTAAGCTGCCTTTAGGAAAAAAAAGTCCACTGGCCTAACGCAGGTATTATCTGACTTCAAAATTTATGATACTTCTCAACAGACTTTATAACGGGGTTTCCAGAAGTATATATATTTCACGTATTTGTTCACATAAAGTTTGAGAAAGGAAGAATGTAGTATAAAAGAAAATGTTGTCTTTTTGTGGTTTTATAAGGAGAAACCATCTAAGAACAGAAAATGCACACAGGAAAAGACAAATACCCCCTGGGGCACAGGGAATATTACATCCTGCTGGCATCTGTGTTTTGAACTCTCACCTGCTGCATTTCACACTCATTGGAGATGAGACAAAGTAATGTTTGCCTCCTTGGCTCTCCTACAAGTATAGAGCAAAAAGAAACCCCCAAACAAAATTTTTCCTTATTGTTCAAATACAAACTCCTTAGATGATCCAGTCCAGTCCCGGAGACATCAGCATTTGTCCAGTTGTACTTTACTGAAGCAAACTCAACATTTGAAAACCTAGGCATATATGTATACCTAAAATCATGGCTGATACACAGAGCAAGGTTCACCTGCCAGCTCTAAATTTTTTCCTTTCCACACTTCTCCTCCCCCCAGCCACATCCAATCTGAGATCCAGTTTGCTCTCAGAGTATCGCAGTTTCCATCAGACAACCAACAACCCATTTGGTTGCACTCTCATAATCAAGATTTAAATGAGTTAACTGCACATAGCGGCTCTCCGGCCCCTTGATCCTTAGAATCAGGGCTTCTGGCTTCTCCAATAACAGATCCCTTAGAGATGCTATTATATATAATGAAATAAACTTACTGTTTTCTTTAACACTTTGAGAGCATAAGGCTTCTGAGTCCCCTTCTGTTTGCATCTGTACACAACGGATGTAGCACCCCTTGAGGGGGAAAAAGACAAAAAGAAAATGTTACGCTCTGGACATGCAATAAAGGGGAAACCTTGAAAATAAGTACCTCTTGCAGTTACCCTCATAACCGACTAGTGTTTATAAGGCCCCACTGTTGAAAGTGTTTTTTCTCTTGCAACTGAGAATAGTTTGCTTGGAAAAGTTCCAGGTTTTCCAGTCTGCTCTTTTCCTTTGCCTCATCCCTATACAAGTAACAACATACCTATGGCTGTTGCAGTCAGTGGCTCTGGAATAAGCCAGGCCCTCAGGTGAGCACAGCTTGTAAGCACATCCACCCAACTTCAGAATCCCCAACTTTCCTCAAAGTATGTGTCTGGAGTAAAGTAAGGCACGCTGCTTTCAGTGAGAGGGTTTAGTTTAGCACTTGTCTGTAAGGATCAGGTCAGTCTCCACTACTCAGAAAGCAAGCTGGGGGCCCTTGAGAATTTACACCATTTGGTGCCCTGGCATTCTCCCAGAGCCAATGTTAGCCCTGGAGAGACTCTGGCTCCTTCCTCTTGGTGAATACTGCTTATTTCACATGCCCTAACAAAAAGAACTGTGTGAAATGTTTAGAAGAAAATACTATAAATATGGTTGAAGATATACAGGGAAAAAGTAGATCTATCTCTCTACAAAAAGCTTGAAAAAGTACAGAATATTTTTTACCTGTAAAGGAAAATGGTAAAAAGGGGCTCTACCTAACTTCTTGTATGTGCAAGGTTACTAAAAGGAAAATATTAAAAAGCAGAACAGTGTGTCCTGACTGGTGTGGCTCAGTTGGCTGGGCGTCATCCTGTGCACCGAAGTGTTGCCGGTTCAATTCCCCAGTCAGGACACATGCCCAGGTTGTGGGCTCGATCCCTAGATGGGGGTGTGCAAGAGGCAGCCAACTGATGCTTCTCTCTCCCTCTCTCTTCTTATCTCTCTAAAAATCAATTAAAAAAATTTTTTTAAAGCAGGACAGTGTTTCCCTGATGTGTTCTCTGCACACATGAGAGCAACACAAGACAGATAAAAAGAGATCCACGGACCAAGAAGGCTTAAGTCTCAACTTCAAAAGGAGACTTCAGACAAATCTTAAAATAAGATGAGTTGAAGTAAATCTGTCAGACTTTGAAGATTAAGCCAAAAGACCTCTTATGATCTATTCAGTCCTATGGTTTTGAAATATTAAGCACAAAACAATTTAAACAAGTGAAACATATTCGTACAACACATTTTAAACAGAGCCAGGAGGACTCAGGAACTGGTGTTGTACATGTTAATAGGTTTTACAAATTTCAACACATTTTTAAAAACTTTGGAAGGATATAACATATACATAAAGAAATAAAGTATTGTAGAAATGGAATAAATGAAGGTAAATATATAATTCATCTTTCCTTATTTTTTTAATTGCTCTAAAAGACAACTATCTAAAGCCAAAATATTAACAATGCATTGTTTATAGCATATATAATAGTAAAATGTGTGACAACAATAGTATAAAGAATGGGGGAAAGAAATAGAGAAAATGCTATTAAGTTCTTACACTATGTATTAAGTAGTATGATATTATTTAAAAATAGACTGATTAATTAAAGATGTATATCCTTTAACCTAAGGCAACCAACGAAATTATTTTTAAAGAAAAATTAATAATATCAGTAATGGAACTAAAATAGAAAATCAGAAATGAAGTGCAATGTAAGGAAACAAATTAAGATATTAAAATTATAAAAGCTAACAATGTGGTGGATTCTAATCCAATCATATTAATAATTACATTAAATGTAAACCTTAGAAACACATCAATTAAAAAGAAAGATGGTTAGATTGGAATGAAAAATCAAGACCAAACTATATGTTGTGTACAGAAACCCATGTGGAATCTAATGAACAAAATAAACTGACAAACAAAACAGAAACAGAGGCATGGATACATGGAACAGTCTGACAGCTGTCAGAGGGGAGGGGGGACAGGGGACTGGGTGAGAGAAGGTGAAAGGATTAGCCGAAGAACATATATGCATAACCCACAGACAGACAACAGTGTGGTGATGGCCAGAGGGAAGGGGGGTGCAGGTGGGCAAATGGGGGGAAATGGGGACATCTGTAATAGTGCCAACAATAAAAATAAAGTTAAACCATGAACACAGACAATAGTGTGGAGAAGGCCTTGGGGGGAGGGCTGAATGTGGGTGGAGGGGATCAATAGGGAGAAAAAGGAGGACATCTGTAATACTTCCAACAGTAAAGACCAATTTTTAAAAAATAAATAAATTATGCAATTAAAAAAACCAATTAGTTTGCACACAAAAAATTTGGCCTTTTATAATTACTATTAAAAATTATCTGGCAAATTAAAAAAATAAAGTTAAAATAAATAAATAAGTATAGAGGTATAAATATGTTAACAATAAAATGATAGGAAAGAGATACTATGCAAACACTATTAGAACGAAAGCAGGAATAGCTATATTAATACTACGTTAACTAGACTTCAGACCAAGGATAAAGAGAAGAGAGGCATTATTTAATTTTAAAGACGTCAATTCCCCAGAAAGACATAACAAATAGAATTATGTATGCACCTAACAACAGCACTTCAAAATACGTGAAGCAAAAACCGATAGAACCGAAAGGAGAAATAAATCCACAAATATAGTTGGAGTCTCCCAAATACCCTGTTAACGATTAAAAAAAAAGTAGACAAATTGTCACTCAGGATGTACAAGACACGAACAGCTCTTTCAACTAAATTAACCTAATTCACAATTTGAGAAAACTCCACACAAAAACAGCAGAATACACATTTTCATCAAAGTTGGAGGATTCACATACTTGATTTCTAGATTTACTCTAAAGCTACAGTAATCAAAAGAGTGGTATTGGAGAAATAATAAACATGGAGACAAATGGAACAGAAAAAAGAATCCAGAAATCATCTTACACATATATATGGCCAATTGGTTTCTGACAAAAGTAAAAAGGTAATTCTGTGAAGATAGTCCTTCCAGCTATAAATAGTGCTGGAACAACTAGACATATACACATATGCAAAACCCCCCAAATCTTTATATACACCTCACACTATACAAAAAATTACTTAAAATGGTTCATAAATATAAAATTAAAACCTAGAACTCTAAAACTTTCTTAAAAATCTAGGAGAAAATTTTGTAACCTTTAATTATGCAATGCTTTCTTATACACAAAACCAAAAGCACAGTGAATGAAAGACTGAACAACTAGGACTTTATTTAAATTAAAAATATTTGTTCTTTGAAAATCACAGACAGATAGAAAATATATACAAATCATATACCTAATAAAGGACTTGTATTTAGAATTATAAAAAACCTTGAAGCCCAATAGTAAGAAAACAAAAAATGCATTTAAGAAATAGGAAAAAGATTTAAACATATATTTCACCAAAGAAAATGTATGGAAAATAAGCACAAGGAAAGATGCTCAGTATCATTAATCATCAGGGAAATGCAAATTAAAACCACAATGAGATACAACTACACACTTATTTGACACTGTATTAAAAGAGAGACAATACCATGGGCTGGCAAGGATGCAGAGCGATGAAACTCTCAGACATGGCTGGTGGAAATGCAAAAGGATAGAGCCACTTTGGAAAACAGCTTCGTAGTTTCTTATAAAATTAAGAATGCTATATGATCCACCCATCTCACTCCCGGGTATTTACCCAAATGAGATGAAAGCTACGTTCACTTACAAACTTGAACATGAATCAGCAGCTTAGTAGTAATCCCCCCAAATTACAAACAACTCCAATATCCCTCAACTGAGAAATGGACTGACAATCTGTGACATATCCATATAATGAAAGAAATAAAAAGAAATGAACTAGAGTACACATAACAACTTGGGTAATTCTCTAATATAATATCCTAAGAGAAAGAAGAGAGGTTCAAAAGGCTTTAAACTGTGTAAGTCCATTTATATAATATTCTTGCAAGGACAAAATTACAGGCACAGAAAATAGATCAGTCGTTGCTGGGGGCTCAAAGATGGGGGGGACTTGACTACCAATGAATATGAGAAAAAGTTTTAGTATAATGGAATTGTTCTGTATCTTGATTGTGGTTGTGTTTACACAACTTAAAACATCTGTCAAAATAGGTAGAACTGTACAATAAAATAGACTAAATTTACTGTATGTGTGTGTGTGTGTGTGTGTGTGTGTATATAACTTAACAAAAATACAGTAAAAAAACCTTTCCAAGGAAACCATATTGTTCAAAGGCAAGATTAAAAATGATATTAGCCAATGTAGCCTATTACACAATTCATTCTATTTTTTATTTCATGGAAACCAGTAAAATATTTTTATAAGAATAAAAAATGAAAAGAGAAAATAAATTGGAAACACTAAAAAAAACCTAAAAATCTAATTTGGCATTTTATATCAATTCAAAATTTAATATTATTTAAGAATTCATATATTAAATACCATCCACTCCTTAATTTCTGCATCACATTAACTTATCAGTAATTTTAGTATACAAAGAATTATTTTAGCAAAGCTTTAAAAAATATATTTTTAACAGAATACTCTCTTGACTGATCAACCTCAGGACACAAGTATGTTAGAATTGACTTTTTATTTTTTGTATATGAAGAATCTATTAAGAAAGTCCAATTTTATTTTGCTAAGTAATGGACTTATTAATGTTACAGGCCTTTTAATTTTTTCCACCAGCTTTATTGAGATATAATGAACATACAACTTTGTGAAAGTTTAAACTGTACAACATAAGGACTTGATGCATGTATACTGCAAAATGATTATTACAATAGTAATAATGTTAGTTAACACATCTATCACCTCCCATAGTTAAAATTTTAGAAATAACTTTTTAAAGGATGGAAAGATTAAGTTTAAAGAGTGGAACAGCCCAAATAAATTTATATAAAAATAATATTTTAGTAATTTTTCAAAAACATAATCTATATTCTTTGCTAAAATTAAATGA